TGATCCCTTGCTCTTTGGCGTCTGTAGGAACCTCTCCATTGGACCCATGCATTGAGTAAAGCCCTTTGGCTGCTCTTGTTCCTATTCACCCATCCTCCTTCCCCTTCCCGGGGAAGCGCCGGGGCGGGATGGCTGTGCCATGTCCCCGGGACCACCGGGAAGCAGCATTTGATGCCACGGCACTGTCTGGTGCAGTCGGGCTGCCGTCAGCCCTCGCCGTGACAGGGGATGGGGGCCGTACCCTCCTCTTGAGCCCACCACATCCCACCTAACGTGGGAGCTTAAGGAGAAGGTGGCCGAGCCGCAGGGGGACACACGGGTTCAGCCTCCGTTTGGGAGCCCGGGTGCTTTCCCTTCTGGCGGGCGTTGGGGTCTTCAGTGGGCACAAGCAAAAGCTGCAAAGGCCAAAATGTTCAGGCGTGTCCATCACCACCGGGCACCGCTGGCCCCCAGGGCGGTTTTGGGTGCTGGGAAGAGGTTCAAGTGCTTGTTTTTTGCTGGAACACCAAAATCCAGCCTTTCCCCCTGGATGCCCTCAGGAAGGTTCTCACACCCCTGACCCATCAGGAGGACACAGGAGAGCGGTACCACCCCGCTCCCACCACCGTGAGAGGCACAGAGCCCCCCCACGCCTGACCACCCTCCACGGGGCACGCACCCCGGGGGGCCCAATGCATGATACAGACGGAGCATAAATACCTCAAACCTTCCAGACCGACTCTATAAGATCTCAGTCCCTCCCCAAATTCACTCTGCACGGTTACGACCACTCGGATACAAAGCCCAGCACGCCGGCATCCTCCACGCAGCAGAGAAATCACACCCCGAATGACATGGGATGTTGTAAATCCAGCTTGTAAATGATCTTCACTTCGTTTTGTTCGGTCTTTTTGATGTATATCTTGCTTTTTTTGCAGATGGTACTTTCTGGTGTAACAATTCTCTGCAGTTCTGGTATGAAATTGGTGTATTTGTTAAAAAAAGTTTGTTCTATTAATTTTTTTTTTTTTTTTTGTGGTTTCCAAAAGCCCATTGGTGCATTGTACAATGGGATCTTGTAGTGTGTCATGAGAAAGAAAAAAAATACGCAGATATGTTACGGAGTGATTTTTATTTTCAAATGATTGTGTTGTTGACAACTATACATACAAAATATATATATATATAATCAAGATACTAAGAAAAAAAATCTAAATTTACCAAAATCTGTATATTTTAATAAATGCATAAAGCTTTATTGTGTGCCTTTACATTTAAAAATCAAACAGGAACTAATGGATTTTTAAAGAAAGCCAGAAGCAAATGTGTCTTAGTATCAGTTTCCATAGTAATGTAAGTATTTCAAATGAAAGAGTAAACCAAAAAATAAAGAGTAAACCAAAAAATAATTAAAAAAAAAATTCCCGTAAAATTTTGTTAAGCAAATCAGTACCTGGAAGTCTGATATTTTTTCAATGCTAAATTGAAGCTAGAGATGAACAAATCTTGCCTTAAATGCTTCAAAATTTCCTTTGTAGAAGATCCATTTCAATGGGCTGACTTTGGGATTTACTTGCACTGTTGTGAAAAAAAATGGTTATCAGTTTACACAATAAAAAA